CGAACTGACCGAGATTCAGAAATGAATCTCGAACATTCCGCCCGCCATCAGCAACGTAGTTGATGATCCCTGATGTTATGATGAGATTGGCAGGACGGCGAGCTTGACCACTGGTCGGATGAGAGTGGTAGTGGCTGTCTTCAGAGTCACCACCCGCACTAGACCATCCTTCCCAGGATGTAGAGCCGTGATCCGGGCTAACGGCCATTTGCATGGCGGTAGCCGCTCGTCGGTGATGAGCACCAATGACCCGACCTTGATTTCGTTGCTCCTGTGGTGCCACTTTGAGATGGCTTGTTGTCGTTGTAGGTAATGCGCTGCCCAGTGTGTCCAGAAATGTGCTTTCTGCTGGATGAGCTGCCATCGAGAGAGTCTTGAGATTGCCAGGTCGGTGAGTGAGGGCTCTGGTATGGCGGTGAGCGGACTTCCTACGAGGAAGTGACCTGGCGTGAGCGCTGCGATGTCGTCCGCGTCGTCACTTAATGGTTCGAGAGGGCGGGAGTTGAGGATTGCCTCAATTTGAGTGAGCAATGTGGTGAGCTCCTCAAAGGTGAGCACGCTTTCTCCAATGGTCCGCCGTAGGTGGTACTTGATGAATTTTACGACGGCCTCCCATTTTCCTCCCATGTGAGGTGTCGCTGGGGGATTAAATTCCCATCGGGTGTTATCTTGCGAGAGCAGGTGAGAAACTCGCTGATGTTCTTGAGTGCTCTGGATAAACAGCCTTTTGAGAGCCGCATCCGCGCCGATGAAATTGGTGCCGCAGTCGGAGTGTAAGGTGTGAGCAATGCCGCGTCTGGATGAGAAGCGTCGATAGGCGGCAATGAATCCCTCCGTTGAGTAGTCACTGACCGCCTCGAGGTGTACTGCTGAGGTTGAGAAGCAGACAAAAACGCAAATCCAGCCTTTAGTTGTTTTGGCACCTCTTCTCTTCCATGTTTTGAGCGGCCCCGCGTAGTCCACACCTGAGTGAACGGTTGTGCCTGCGTAACCCGAGAGAGAGGTAGTTGGCCCATCAATTGATGAGCACGGATCCCCCTCTACCGAGCACACGTGACACACCGCAGAATGTGGGACTTGACAGGGGCCCTCCCGCCTAGAATCCAGTATTGTTGTCGGATGTGCGACAGCGTAAGCTGTGTGCCTCCATGTAGCGTCCGTTGATGAGCGTGAGCGATGATAAGTGACGACAGCTGAGAGTGACGAGGCAAGATTACAGGATGTGTCGCATCGAATGCGAGAGCTGCGTGAGCGAGTCGTCCGCCGACGCGAATAACTCCTTGAGCGTCGATGTACGCAGTCAACCTGTTGAATGCGTGTGCCCTTGCCAACGGTGAGTCTGCCTGTAATGCCTTGAGCTCGTGCGAGAAGTACGTTGCTTGAGTGGCCTGATCCAGAAGAGCCTCGCTTTCTCCAAGGTCTCTGGAGAGATGTGTCTGACAGGCAATGAGTCGTGGACTTTCCTCAACCGTGAGACGAATCTGAAACAGATAGCTGTAATCCTCAATAGTTTAGTGAGGTTTCAGTACCTGTAGATGAGTTCCCATTGATATTCAGCCTTTGGCGTAACCGTCAATAGCGAAACGCCTGGGCGAGCTTCTGTAGCACTCATCTCGTCAGAGAGTGCTGGTTGCGACGGCCATGAGTCTGAATTGAGTAGCCATGGTGGTCCCGTCCACCAGAGTGCGTGGTTTTGAAGTTGAGTGGTCGTGAGGCCTCGTGATGCGCAATCAGCCGGGTTGGAAGTTCCAGGTATGTATCTCCAGTGAGCAGCTGGAGTGAGCTCTTGAAATTGAGCCACCCTGTTCCTGACAAAATCCTTCCAGCGTGATGCATGAGATCTGGATCCACGAAAGTGTTACGAGAGAGTCCGTCCACATATGCGTTGCCGTAACGTCCATGTTCAACGTAGCTTTGACGTATTTCCTGAGTCGAGAGAGCAGTAGAGCAGCCGTGAGCTCAAGTCACGGGATTGAGAGCCGCTTGAGAGGTGCTACCTTAGTCTTGGAGCACACAAGTGAGAACGTGGCGCCGTTTGAGTCGTTAACGGATATGTATATGACTGCAGCCATTGCCAATTGAGAAGCATCAGAGAATCCATGAAGTTCCACTTGCGAGTCGCTCCATGTATTGAGCCACCGAGGTATTGAGAGTCTGGCCAGACTTGTGAGTTCTTCTCTGATGGAGAGCCACCGGGTTGAGAGCTGGGATGGCAGTGGATCATCCCATTGGAGCTTGTGCAGCCACAGCTCCTGCAAGAGAATTTTGGCCTTGATCACGACGGGTGATGCAAAGCCAAGTGGATCGAATATCTGAGCCACTTCAGATAAGACGAGGCGTTTTGTGAGCCTGCCTTCCTTGCGTGAGCTTCGTGTTGAGAATGCAAAGGTATCTTCTTGAGGGAGCCATTTAAGTCCGAGTATCTTGGTTGCGCAATCGTCGAATGTGATTGGTAAGCCTTGGTCTTCTCTGTCGGTGACAGTCTTGAGTATGTCGAGATGAGTAGCATGCCATTTTGCTAGTGGGAAGCCGCCCGCCATGCAGAGGCCCTTTAGTTGATGTGCGACCTCCTGCAATTGTTGAATCGTATCTGCACCACCAAATATGTCATCGACATACCTGCCATGAGTGATGGATGGCACAGCCAGGGGATATTTATGTCCTTCGTCCTCTGCTAGTTGTAACAGCGTCCTGACGGCCAAGAACGGCGCGGCCTTTGTCCCGTAGGTGACGGTTGTCAGATGGTATGGCACCTCATTGAGTTGATCGTCCATCCAGAGTATCCGTTGCAACTCCCAGTCATCCTTGTGAATTTTGATTTGCCTGTACATCTTGGTGATATCCGTAGCGAAAATGTGACGATGTCTTCGTATCCAGAGGAGAACATCTGAGATATTCAGATGCAATTTCGCTCCCGTATACATGAGGTCGTTAGCAGAGTAGCCCGATGTGGATGCGCTGGAGCCATTAAATACGACTCGCAGCTTTGTTGTTGTACTGTCAGGCTTGAGAACACCGTGATGTGGCAGGTAGAAGTGTGAGCGACGACTGGAGATGGATGATGCCTTCGTCATGTGGTTGAGTGTCTCGTAATCCATCAGAAATTGTTGATAGAGACGTTGGTAGTTTACATCCCTTGAGAATCGTCTGCGTAGTCCCTTGAGGCACTGATGGGCGACGTGGTACGAATCACCCAGAAGATATACTGGCGATTCCCACGTAACAATTCGACATCTTTTAAACGTCTAAAGGACGTCCCGTTCGTCATGGACGGACATCCGTATGATGTGAGGAAGACGTCCAGTAGACATCTTTTGTACGTACAATGTACCGCCCAAAGACGTCTAGTAGACATCGTTCGTACATACAGTCTATCGCCCAAAGACGTCCAGTAGACATCGTCAGTACGAACATTGTACCGTCCAAAGATGTTGACGCGTCATTCTAACGACATTTATAGGACGTCTTTGGGTCCAATGGCTGCGTTTAGCAGAAAAAGCTGTTGCAATTGTTGTAACAATCCTCAATCTGATGCTCTAAGATTCAGCAATTAAGAACATACACCAATCAGATTCATAAATTTTATAATTGTAAAACAGCTTTTTCTGCTAAACACAGCAAATGTATCCAATAAATGTTACACTCTTCCAGGATATACAATCGATTTAATGTAGACATCAATTTTATACATATTTGTGTATATGTTTGTATAAAAAAATTTTATACAGGGTGAGCCATTTTAATCCATCCAGTCGAATATCTCGAAAACCAAGCCCGAGAGAGAAACATGTTTCAA